CTTGTCGTTCTTATCGTTGATGCACTTGAGGAAGTGTTCGATCATGTTCAGCGAGAGGAGGCTGTGACTGAACAACAGCCTGCAACGACGCGGACGGAGAGACGCTGGGTTCGAGTTTCACGATCAGAGAGCAGACGGGGATCTCACATCTCACATCTCATACATACATACACAGGGATGCGAACACTTACACCTTGTCGCCGATGGCCTCGCACTGTGACAGGATCTCGGTGAGTAGCATCATCTTGCCGCTGAGCTCGTAGTTGTCCTCGTCCTCCTGTGAGATGTGCTCGTCCCACCACTCCGCGACGCGCTCCGGATCCGGCAGTACCTCAGGCTCCGGCTGCGTGCTCGGCCCTGCGCCCGCGTCCGACTTATCTGCTCGAGATAACACGACGATTTCATCATTATTATTATTGTTAAATCTTTATTGCGTGTACACATCAAATACATGTACTGAAGACAGTCTTTTTCATGGCGCAAAAATCGCCGAATGAAATTAATACGATGACGATGACAACGTATAACATGATTACTCATGTAATGCTCATGCTCCTAATAACCTTTATGGGTTATTACTACGGATCGTTAATAGTAATAAATATTTGTAATGATTTATGTGATAATACTCGTATTAGTGATAATACTCGTATTAGTGATAATACTCGTATTAGTGATAATACTAATACTTTTATTAACTACTATTAATTATTACTACGAATCTTTACTGATAATATGAATTTACAAACGATTCACACAATATATAACTTACTTGTACTTAATTAGTATTATTAATTATTAAGCCTTATTAATGTTACCCTTACTAATACTAATGTCAATGCTAGCTATAACACCCTCAACAATGTTGATACTGCACTACGTATGAACGTACTAATGACGACAAGATGTATTGCTACTCTGCGACGTAAGACCGACAGAGCGCGACACGAGCGTCTGCCGCTGCATGAGGGAAGCAGCGAATCAGAGCGCGGCGTACCTTTGTTGCCGCGGCTGCTGCTGCGTGTGTTCACCGCGCCACGGCTGCGCGTAGAGTACGTTTTCACGACCTCTACACTGCTGTCCGACTTGTCGCCGCCCTTAACCGCTGCCTCGTCGTCGGAATTCTTCGTGCTACTCTTGGCGCTGCGAGAAAAAACAAAACGGAACCTCGTAGACAAACCGACGATAGGTGACGTTTAGTTGTTGTTGTTTGTTTGTTTGTTGTTGTTTGTTAGTTGTTGTTTGTTGTAGTTTTTTAGTGTTTGTTGTAGTTTGTTAGTGTTTGTTGTAGTTTGTAGTTTGTTAATGTTTGTTAGTTGTTGTTTGTTAGTGTTTGTTGTAGTTTTTTAGTTGTAGTTGTAGTTGTTAGTTGTTTGTTAGTTGTAGACTTGTAGGTGTTAATTAGTGAGAGCTAGTTGCTTGTATAGTATCCCTGAAACTACACATTCTGAATGGTGTACTGTAGGTGCGCCCCACAACAAATCAAGCGGTGCATTCACTACTGGTTAGTGGACATAATATATATGCCTACACTACCTTCTACTCTATCTCAGCACCACGTGTTTACGCATTACTTTCTTATCTTACTTCTCCGACCCTGTCTCCATTCTCTCCATTCTCCTTTTCTGTCCCTACCTCGTCATCACCGTCTACACACATCCGCACCATGGGTATGTTAGCAGGAATGTAGTATTGTGGGAGTGCTTATGACAAGATATTCGGGAGTTGCAATTTTTTTGAGTATGTGTGCTTTTTAGATTCAATATTTTTTAGGACGGTGCTACACTCTTTTTGCCTCCGCGCAGTTTCAAAATCAATGGCTTGCACGGCTCGTTGGTAATCGGTTGTCGCGCTGCACGCGCTCACCGCGCCGCCGCCCGCCGCCGCCGCCGCCCACATCTCTCTTACCGTTTCCGCCGTTCGTATGTTTGTTTTCTGCTTCTTCGTCTCGCTTGCCGTCGCCTGTCGAAGTTCAACTCACGTCGCTGTGTCATGAGTTGGAGTGTCCTCAGCCTCCTGTTTCATTCCTCGTCTATCTAATGAAGTCTGCAATGCTCTTCCTCTGAGTCGTTTGGTCCAGTTTTCATCATCGCCTGTGGCCAGCGGGAAAAAAACTTTTTTTTTTACGGGAGCTCTTTTCTTTGCAAATCTGTGGGAAAAATATCTCGTCTAAGAATTTTACGTCGGACCTATTTGAGGTCTCACGGGAGCCGATTTTCGGATGTTTGAAGAGGCGAATCGCGCTCATCGCCTCGCCTGTATTTTTTACCCTGGCTCTGTGCACATTAGTGATAGGTTACGGCACAACACGGACTGCTATTGTTGCTGTAGTCGCTGCAGGTAGTATACTGTCTGTATTACGCTGTATATCTTTCGCTTGGTTGGTTTATATCTTTTCGCGAATTTTCGCGAACGACGTCCGCCCGCGAAGAATAGACACGGTAAAAAGTAACAATCAGGCTGTTCTTCGCGCATTCAGGAATCCGACCGCGCAAATTAACACTCGCGAAATGTCCGTCAAGTCTGAATCTCGCGAATCATATTCTGCTATTCGCAAAAATATATGACGATACAGTCAATTGAAGTCATCTTAGTTCAGTTAGTGCTCTTAACTTGGCTGAATGGTTCACCAAGGTCGTGAATGAAGATTATTATTGGTACTTGGCGAATGAAACTTACCAAATAACACTCAGGAAATTTAGTTATACAGTGGTATGAATTTTTGTGATCAAAGACTCAAGGTTGAATGACATTTAATTACACCTTCATGACAATCAATGCAATCAATCAATCAACCACTCACTCACCACCGCACCACTCACTCACTC